ACCAATTGGTAGATTAATAGAACAAAACCTTTGAACATATGTCCAAGGTATAAACAGAGGCAATAACATCTTCAAAAGTCTATGTGAAGCCAGGCACTGGTGGCTCACACATGTAACCTTAGCTATTTTTGAGGCCAGCTCAGGCAGGAAAATATGTGAGGCTCTCATCTCCAATTAATCAGCAAAAAGTCAAAGTGGAGGTGTGTCTCAAGTGGTAGAATGTCAGTTTTGAGTAAATGACATAAAAAAATTAAGCTAAGGGACAGCACCCAGGCCCCAAGTTCAAGCCCTAGTACTGGCACAGTCTATGTGACCCAAAGTGGAGTTGGTATCACTTATCAATGTAATTGATAAGTCTCTTGGGGATTTGGGGGCATAAAACTATCCTGGCGCATGTCACAGTCTCTGCCTCTGCTTCTAGGGCAACTTTACCCGTTAAGACTACCTAAAGACCTAAATACCTGGTATTACCTAAGGAAAGGTAGAGAGTGATGTTACAGGAAGGAATATAAACTGTAGTTATATATACAGTATGTGGGGGTTTTAGGTAAATTAATGTGGTAGCTGTGGGAAATACTAGAGATAGCTGATTAGGCAGTATAACTTGATTTCTAAGACAAAACTACTGGAATAAAATAGCGAACACATGCCTATTCTAAAAAAAAAAAAAAAGTACAAAAAAACTACCAGCTAAAGAAGCACCTTACTGTACTGACTTGCAGAGTTCAAGGCTTACCTCTCTTCCTCTTTAAATATAAATTCCATAGTCATCTAAAAGTACTTACATAAGCTCTTGCTTTCCAAGCCAAAAAGATCAGGTTTCTGAAAAATCTACGTCAATGTACACATACACATACACAGTCTCAGACACATAGACACACTTTTTAAAAAATCTACATATACACATGCCCTGGTGAGTATTTGTTCAAATACTACAGTCCTAGCAGTGATTTTATTTAGTCTGGTTGTTCTTAAAACAAACACACATAACTTTAATTAAAGGCACATCCAACATAGGGGAAACCATCTTGAAACAATTAGATTCTTCTACAGTAAAAGGTTTCAGGGCACTGACATCCTCCCACTTCCTCCAATCCCCTCAGGAAAGAGACCAGATGGGGCAAAGGCAAGCCAAGCCTGATTCCATAAACACAGCCTGGAGCTGTAATTCTCTGCCCTGCTCTATTTTTTTCTCTTCCAACCAAGATACCACCTTTCTTTGGGTCTTCCCTAAATGAATTCCAGTCAGTTAACTGTTTTTACTTTTTTTTTTTTTTAATTCTGCTCTTTGATCAGTTTTAGAGGGAGAAAATTTCTGACATGGTTTCTTATCTTTCCCTGGCAGGAAATACTCCAGGAAGAAATTGAGAAGGAATTACCAAATCATGCATCTGGTCATGAACCTTGGCTATGGAGGCTTCTGGAAAATGTCTGAAAGATGGGTGCCTCTGACACCATATGCTTGTGAGTTTCTGGGCTGTCTAGTTCCCCTTGTAGTACAAACTGTCTATTGAAACTGTCCTGAAAGCTGGGGGACAAATTGTGACATGTATCCAGTGAGTTTACCCCTACGTAATTTACTCATGAGTTTCTATCAGCAAAAAGATACACTGAAGAGTCACTTCTACAAATACCAACATTAGAAAAAAACCAACAAAACAAAACCAGTAGGATTCTTGCCCACAGCGAGCTTACTCTATTGTATGAAGGTCAAATCCTTTAGAAGACAAAGGTTTTTCTTACGTGGCTAACATTCCTGTTGTTCAGTACTGTAGGATACACTGGACACAGAATCTAGACAAATGTGTGGACACTCTTGCCTAAGAGGCAGCAGGAGCAAGTAGCCCATCTCTAGAAGCAAGAACTCTAGGTAAGGCAGTGCCAGAGGGAATAACCTGGAATGCAAGAACCAGGACTGCATGGACAGGCAACTGTAGATTCCAGTACCAAATTACAACATGGGTTATCATGAAAACTCTTTACAAAGGAGGTCTGGAGCCTCTTGGTGAGATGGAACAAACTCTAAAGAGCAGGCAGAAAATGAGGCTAAGTGCTCTAAGTATCAAATTGTCAAGAGGAAATGTGACCAAGCCCTTCAGAACGAGAGGTGTGACGCATCTCTCACATGTTCACACACAAATGCTACCCTTGAAAACTCCATAGAGCTGGCCTAACCAAGAGCAGCAGCAGAGGTGAGTCAAGCACAGCTTCAGTCAGTCACAGACTGTGAGCTGCACCCAAGATTTGACTGGTTACTTGTTACCAAATCACACACACCTAGAAAGAACAGGAGCAGCTGAGAGATTTCTGCAGCTTAGGCAAAGTTAAGTGTATACTCAGGAAGGGATGTGGAGATTAGAATAAACCTCAGTCCAGAAGTAGAGACTTACAAAAGTGAGAAGGCTCAGGCCAAGGGAGCAAAATCACAATAGCATCCTTTACATGATTATATGATACCAAAGGGACAAGAAAGGTGGTTCTCAACCCCAAAGCCCCAACTCATTCTGAATATGCCAATCATAGACCTGAATAGAAATAGGAAGCTAGATAAAATTGAATTCTCACATTCTTATGGTCACTAGTTAATACCTTTAGTCCTCAAAAAATATCCTAAGCACAAAAATGAAGTGTTGTCAGATGATTACTTATGAAAAAAAAATCCTACACTGAGAAAATAATTACCCCCTCTCCCGCTTCCTTTCTTTATTAGTTCTCCTAAATTTCCACATGTGTCACTGAATGAGAAATAGCTGACTTGCAAATACATGGGCAGAGGTGTGAGAGCTATTTTCAGAGTTTATCCAGGAATAGCTGTATTACATGGGTCTTGGTTTTAGCAGAAAACTAGAAGTGGTCATTTCTATATAATGGCTGCATATATTTCTACTACTACTACTTAAAAAAAAGCACTGAATGAACACTGACATAACATGGAAGAACCTGGAAAATATGATAACTGAAAGTAGCCAGAGACATATTATATGACTCCCACTTATATGATAAATATTCAGAATAAGACAAACTCACAAAGACAGCAATCAGATTAGTGGTTCCCAGGGGAAATGCAAGGAAAGGAGGGAGTACTTGCTTAGTAAGTACTGGGTTTCCTCCCAAGAGTGATGAAAAAGCTCTGGAACTAGAAGGGATGGTAGTGAACAACAGTGTGAATGTGCTTGCTGCCAATAAAAAGTAGCCTTTCAATTATAAAACACTAAATGCTATGTTACCTGTATTTTACCACAATAAAAGAGAGTAGACAATAGTCTAGCCATCTATTCTATGCAAAATACGTACACTTTTGCTCAGTACACTATGAACAAAAAATATGTACACATTTGTTCAACTGTTCACAATTCTGTCTAAGCTACTAATGTAAATTCTCTATCTTTCCAGTGAGTAATATCTTAGACAAAACGGATGAATGCTTATCTTAGTAGTATCTCAGTAGTATCTTAGACAAAATTGATAAACACTTATCTTCTCTTTCTCTGGGATGACTATAAGAAGTTGTCTTCTACAGATACCTACAAAGCTGGACAGTAGCAGGTACATACAGACCCAGAAGGCTGTACAGTGGTATACAAGGTAGATCAAAAGACAAGTCTCTATCACCAGGAATTTCAGAAATACTGACTCACCAGCTTCCCATAGACAAAGTAAGTAAAAATGTCATAACATCACCTCATGTATAACCATGGGTATCATCTCTTTTTAAAGCCCCTTGATAATTCTAAAACAGAAGCTCCCTGTATCAAGAATCCTTAACCAGTCTGGGATAAAAAGGGAAGAGAATTGCATGAATCAAATGCCTACTGTGAACTGGAAAATGCAAGCTCTTTCCATATGGTACCCACATCTGTGGGCTACCTTTATCCTCTCAGACTTCTAGTTGTCATGAGCACTATGGTCCCTAGCAGAGGAGCAGGAGATCAGGGGCTTTCCCTCCTTTACTTAAGGTAATCAAAAATTTAATATGTAAAGGGTCAGATAAGTATTCTGGACTCTTTGCACCATATGGTCTCTGTTGTAACTGTTTAATTCTGCTTTTGTAGTTCTGGAGCAAACATGGACCATGGTTAAATAATACAGACAGCAGGTCCCAACCCCTACTTAAGAATCTAAAAAGATTCCCGGAAGTCTTAGTACTCCAGTTATCCACAATGGGAACCTGACAGTAACAAACCATATATATAAGGCTTCCTCTTTTCTCATGCTTTCTAGATCTCTGGAGAAAAAACTAGTGGCAGTCAAATGCCTTGTCTCACATTTGAATACCCTGCTTCTGAGAGCATCCAACATTTGTCAGTGTTCTTCTGTGCTGTAGCAACTTATCACCTCCCTTTTACATTGAGAAAAGTGAGGTTCAACAATCACATAATTCATAATAATAGACATTACAAATAAGGACAGACAGGACCCATAAGAAGTTGATCTACCTTCAAAGTCCCTGATCTCTTTACAATACTACCAGGGTAAGGATAGATAGACACACCTAAGTACATGCATGTATACATACACACACACTCACAGACCCCAGTACTTAAATATATAGTTTTAATTTACAGTGAGCAGGAGAGTTCAATGTAATGGCAAACCATGAAATAAATTACAGTACTCAGATAGCTACCTATCTACAGTAAGGGAGTTTATAAAATTATATAATATAAATAGCAAAGCTTGAAGGTGATGCAAAAACTATTTTTCTCTTTTATATTGGTTCTTAGCTAGGACCAGCTGGCTATAGTTTTGGTAAAGTGTGGGTGTATCTGGGCACAATTTACAGCCACTTGGAAATGCTTACTATGTAATGTGGAACTGGTAGAAAGAAACTATATTAAACACCCTCACACATATTTTAGCATGGGAGTGGGAGGGGGCATGGCAATAATTTTACAACGATCTCATAAGGGACTCAAGAAACTCCACTTGAACACTGAGGATTCTAGAGAACGCCCTGGGAGCCATGGCGGAGTCAATGTGGTAACCAATGGTCTGCTTACGCGGTCTTGCCCTCGCTATCGTGCTTGGTTGCGCTGGCCCCCTTCTTGCCCAGCAGTGAGGCCACCTTCTCCACGTCTCCATTTTCCACGGCCTGCAGCAGGCGGTCATCATTCTTGTTCCACTCATTGGTCTGTGAAGCAAAGGACAGAGGCAGAAGAGGTGAGTGATGTCAGCTAAACCCACACCACTGATTCTGTTCTCCCACCTCAAATCAAAACCTGCCCCAAAGGGGAAACTAAATAATACCTTCTTCTTTACCATAAGGACACTCCCCCCAACACATACAGTTTAATAAAATACTGTCATCGAACTTTGAAGGAGGTTACTCCCTCTAACTATCCTTGGGAAGACAAAGCAAGTTAGATGGACCTGGAATCCAGTTTACACATTAGCTAATTTCTAGCTAAAGTTGACAGATGGCACCTAAGAATGCTGACCTTTGACCTAGTCTACAGCTCACTCAAGTGCAAAGGGTTACAGCTCCAAACTGGCCAGTAGTTCAAGGTTATCTGAGAGTTAAAATACATACAATTCTTCATTGGCTTTTTATGGCCACAGTTTCTGTTCTGCTTATTGCATCCAAATTTCTTGAGCCATATGCTGATTTTAAGTAGTTGTCTATGCTACCAAATCAACAAAGTACCACCAGAAACAAAACTTCTTTTGAGCAAACAATTAGGCATCAAACAGCTTTGGGGAAAACCTCAACCACCTTCAGTCCCAAATTATTTTGCAAACCACAGAAACAGTAAACTTGCATGTGCATGAAAACCAGATTTTAGTTTTAGAAAGGAAACGAATTATCTTCATGTTAAGAGTAAATGAGCCCAACTCGAGTATATGACTAGTTCTCAATATGAAAGGTAGCAATGAGCCACTGAAACTTTTAGAGAAGAATGAGAGAACATATCAAGACTGGAAGGTATATAAAGCACTTAAGATCAATGAGGGAGAAGATGAATCTGGGCACATCAAAGCTCCTGGGGGACCGTGAAGGCCCAGCGCAACCTCCAGGTCTTCTCCATAACAGGTTCTGAGCTAATCCTCATTCTTTCAGCTGTGGACTCAACCACACTGAGAGAGACATATCCTCTTCCCCACAGCTTTCAATAGACAGATCCTATGGTCAGGAATCTAAGGTATTTCATATTGACGCTTCATCATAAAACACTACAAGGAAGTAGACAGAAGGAACATGAAAGACTAAAAAAGCCAAGAAGTGGTAATATTGTAAAGCTACACTCTTTCCATGCTCCCATAAGTGTTCTCAATCTTTATATTAATGCAACAGAAGATTTGTTAGGGCTGATCTCTTGCAAAGCACAGGTGAGTCCACCAGATATCCGAGTCACCTTCCTGTCCTCACATTCAGGACTATAAAGTCACAGACCACGGATAAACACAGCAGAAATGCTCAGAACTGCATCCCTGAGAGCGTTAAGACTGACCTCTCCTGTTTCTCTGGGGGAAAATCTTTCAGTGTACAAGACAGCTTCTTTTCCCTCCCTCCTTCCCTCTCTCCCTCTCTTTCTTCTTTCCTACAGAACACAACCTGGCTCAAAACCTGGCTCAATACTGCATTTACTTCATGTGGGCACCAAGCACTGGAAATGTGGCCAGTGAGAGCCTAATGCTTAACGCTGAGTTGTCATGTGCCAGTCATAGTGACTACCACACAGAACAGTACAGTTCTCCACGGTGACTCTTCATATCTTTCTCAAAGTATGAGTCTACCCATACTCAAGACACTGAGGGTTATCTTCATTATGAACTCAGCCTCCGAGAAGAGAACACAGAAACCAATGGGCCCTACCCCAGCATTTGTTAGTACACTGTACTTAACAATCTTAGCAAATACCAAGACACAGATTATATCTGATTTCCCCCACAGGGCATTTTATAAAGAAGGAAACAAAAAAAGTTTATGAAGTTCATTAAGGGTCAATCATCATTACCTCTATTATTCTAAAAAACAAAATAAAACTACTGTCTTCTAAAATCCTTCCCTAATCTAAAGTGACCAAATTAAAATAGGATTGGGAAGATCAAAAGAATGTTAAATCTTAGTAGACAGGACTGAAAGCACTGAAGCAAAATGAAGGCCATATGAAAGGATTTTCCTTTTCAATGCTGCTATGGCACTCCACCCTTTAGAGGAAAATCTGATGACAGGAATTCCCCAAATCAATTCCACATGGATCCTTTGGGAGTTCAAGTCTCTATAAGACATGGCAGGAAAGAACCCCCAATGCTCTCTAAGAAGGCCAGTCTGCTTTGAGGTCTGAAACACCTCCTGATCTAGAGTCTCCACGGTGAGTAGGCCAGAAGCTCCTTTTCTCTTATAACAGATGAGGTAATGAAAATATGGATTCCTACACCAAATATTGAATAAATAACTACAATACCATTCAGTCTGCAAGTGCTACAGCCGAAGCTCAGAGTGCTTTAGCAGCAAGACAGAAATGAGAATGGATGCTCATATACCTTGGAGGCCTTAGACTAAGCAGAGGAAGGAACCAAGGAACAGAGCAAGCTGGGAATGGTGGAACAGAAAGCCTGATTCTACTTTGCTCCTCTGAACTTGCAGTGGATAAATAAAGCCCTTCTACCCCTCCCCCCCCTTTGCAACTACTCTGCAACTACAGTGTTACATTCCATACCCTAAACCCCACCACCAGTCACAAAATGAGACCAACATGTTTAAGGAATGCTCTAGGTGTCTTGCTCTTGGGGATCCAAAATTCCTCTCTTCACCCCTATCCTTCTACAGGGAAGTATCAAATTGAAAGCAAGCATCAGAATAAAGTTCAGAAAGTCATCTTGGGAATTAGAGCTGTGGCTAAATGGTAGAGTATAAGGCTCTGAGTTCAATCCTCCATACTGCAAAAAATGCACACACACACACACACACACACACACACACAGATACATAAATGAAGAAAGTCACCTTGGTCAATCTACTGTCTAAAGGTAGGATTGGTTAAACAATGAGAAGTAGGAAATTTTGTCCAAACATTACAAGTTAACTCATTCATTCTCCAGAATCAAGACTCCATCTGGAAAATAACCAGCAAAAAGCAAGGCTGGAGGTGTGGCTCAAGTGACAGAACACCAGCTGAGCAAGCTCCTTGCCCTGAATTCAAATCCTAGTACTAACATAAATGAATGAATGGCCACTATTGCACTGACAATTTCATCTTTCATCACTATCTATAAATAGCCTGGCTCTATGGGAAAGATTCCTGGTTATCTTAAAGAGTTTTCAAGCTATTACTAGGTTAAGGTGACATACTTAAAAGTGAAAGAAAGGAAGAGAAAAAAGGAAGGAAGGAAGGAAGAGAGGGAGGGAGGGAGGAAGGAGCCTACATTATGGGTCACATTAATAAGGTAAAATATTTTATGCCAAACTGTTTCTTACTGAAAATCAGAGTAAAAAAAAAATCACATCGAAACAAAAAAAGCCACTGCTTTAGGATAGATGCTCTGTGGCAGTACCAGCTATACAAAGGCTAATTTGTCAAGGCTTAGGCCCCGCAGGCTCTCTCTACGCCTCCCTGTGACCTCTCTCTGCTTCTTTGCTCCACAGGCTCCCCAGGGTCCACCTACTTAGATCCACTCAAGCCCACAGTCTAGACCAGGTGAAATATTGCATGCTGGCGTTTGCTCTGGGTTCAGTTTGTTCACTGTGGCTGCCGTCTTCAGCTCCCTGAAGGCTGTGACAACAGCCTTTCTTTCTAAATCCCGGGTGCCCAAAAAATATTCAGTATTTGCTTGTTGGTTTGAGCAGGAGGTTCTTCATCCAGATTAGCCTGAATTTCTCTTTGAGTTAGCAAATATTTGCACTTTCTTTGATAAAATGCTTTCATTTTCTTGCAAATTATTAAATCCTATTTCAGATTTTTTTTTACATTTTTATAGGCCAAATAAACCCAACTCCCTTAGCTTTTCCACAAGAGGCCAATTTTCCAAGATTTTAATCTTGTGTATACTTTCTCCAAATCTTCATATAAAGGAGCCAAGTCTCATAAATTCAATCAGGATGAAGCTGGTGTCTCCTGGTCATGAAAACCACCTGGGTGCTGGCTAAGTTTGCACACACAGCCAAGCTAAAATTTACTGGGCAGATTTTCTTCCTTCACAAGAAAAATAAATGATTAGGAAGGGAGTGGAGAAAAAAAAAAATTCTTCACTTTTTCTTTGCAGAACTAGGCATGCTCTCTCATACCAAAGCTTGTTATTAGGCTTTCACTAGTGTGTTGAATACTCAAGCTGTTTAGAAGAGACCTAAGAATGGGAGTGACAACATCGCTTCTAAAAGACAAAATAGGTAAAGGGCATAAGTATCCACCAAGAGAAGATAGATAAAGAGATTACAATATAGTCAAACAATGGGCTACCACATGTTACAGCTAGCTGGAGAGATATTTAACATAATAGTGCTGAAAGAAGCAATAACACACACACACACACACACACACACACACACACACACACACACACACACACACACACACACACACACACACACACACACACACACACACACACACACACACACACACACACACACACACACACACACACACGGAATGCTATATGGTCAATTTCTGGCCAAGCTGACACCAGGTAAAGTATATTTGAAAAGTTTTATTCCTATCATGTTCACTATGGAAGACAACATACTGCCAAATCCTGGTTCTTAAACTTTAGAGGTCTTATGAATCTGCATGGAGAATCTGATAAAGCTATGGGCTAGTCTGAAAATAATGTACAGACACAAAAACCTTGCATACAGTTTGGAAGGCTCTATGGCTTAAATGTGTACCCCTGGCCCATCTACCCTAATTCCTGGTGTAGAAAAGGACAGGAGTTCATACTCAAGAGTTCACATTCCCTTTGCATCTCCTCATTGCCTCTTCTAAATGGCCTTGAAAAGTCCACAGTCTCCATGTAAAAAGTACCTGAGTCTCCATGTCCTTATGCATAAAATGGAATATATCCTATTTGAAATTATCCTGAGAATCAGATGTAATATAGACATTAGCCTGGCTTATATTAGATATCCCCAAAATGGTAATTATTCTTATTGAGCTAAATGAACCGCACTCTTTCTAATCCTCTATGAAACTT